ATATGGAAAAACTGAGAACAACTCTACACTCAAAAACTTGACAATTTAGTTGAAATGGATCAATTCCTTGAAAACCACAAACCCCCACAATTAACCTATAAAATAGGCAATTTGAATAGCCTATAGCTTTTAAGGAAATTGAATTCTTCATTTAACTTTTTTTTTTTTTTTTTAGATTTTATTCATTTATTCATGAGAGACACACCGAGAGAGAGATGTAGAGACACAGGCAGAGGGAGAAGCAGGCTCCACGCAGGGAGCCCAACTCGACCCCGGGACCCCAGTCTGCTTTTTAATGTTTTTTTTGTTTTTTTTTTTTTAAAGATTTTATTTATTTATTTGAGAGAGAACAAGAGAGAGGACAGTGGGAGGGATGGAGGTAGAGGAAGAGAGGAACTTTAGCAGACTCCTTGCCGAGCTCGGAGCCTGATGCTGGGCCTGAGCTCAGATTCTGAGATCGTGACCTGAGCTGAAACCAAGAGTTGGACACTTAGCAGACTGTGCGTGCCACATCGAGGAAATTGAGTTCTTAATTTTATTTTATTTTATTTATTTTTTTAATAAATTAATTTTTATTGGTGTTCAATTTACCAACATACAGAATAACACCCAGTGCTCATCCCGTCAAGTGTCCCCCTCAGTGCCCATCACCCATTCACCCCCACCCCCGCCCTCTTCCCCTTCCACCACCCCCAGTTCCTTTCCCAGAGTTAGGAGTCTTCATGTTCTGTCTCCCTTTCTGATATTTCCCACACATTTCTTCTCCCTTCCCTTATATTCCCTTTCACTATTATTCATATTCCCCAAATGAATGAGAACATACACTGTTTGTCCTTCTCCGATTGACTTACTTCACTCAGCATAATACCCTCCAGTTCCATCCACTTTGAAGCAAATGGTGGGTATTTGTCGTTTCTAATGTCTGAGGAATATTCCATTGTATACATAAACCACATCTTCTTTATCCATTCATCTTTCGATGGGCACCGAGGCTCCTTCCACAGTTTGGCTATTGTGGACATGGCTGCTAGAAACATCGGGGTGCAGGTGCCCCGGCGTTTCATTGCATCTGAATCTTTGGGGTAAATCCCCAGCAGTGCAATTGCTGGGTCGTAGGGCAGATCTATTTTTAACTCTTTGAGGAACCTCCACACAGTTTTCCAGAGTGGCTGCACCAGTTCACATTCCCACCAACAGTGTAAGAGGGTTCCCTTTTCTCCGCATCCTCTCCAACATTTGTGGTTTCCTGCCTTGTTAATTTTCCCCATTCTCACTGGTGTGAGGTGGTATCTCATTGTGGTTTTGATTTGTATTTCCCTGATGGCAAGTGATGCGGAGCATTTTCTCATGTGCATGTTGGCCATGTCTGTGTCTTCCTCTGTGAGATGTCTCTTCATGTCTCTTGCCCATTTCATGATTGGATTGTTTGTTTCTTTGCTGTTGAGTTTAAAACTCCCCCAAAAGAATTCTCCAGGCTCAGATGGCTTCACTGGGGAATTCTATCAAACATTTGCAAAAGAATTAACATCATTTCTACACAATCTCTTCCAGAAAATGAAAGAGCAGGGAATATGCCCTGATTCATTTTATGAAGCTATTATAATTCTGATACCCAAGCCATGCAAAGATCATAAAAACAAAAACCAAACCAACAAAAAACTACAGGCCAATATACCTCATGAAAATCCTTGAGAAAATATGAGAGAACCAAATTCAAGAATGTATAAAAATAATTATACACCATGACCAAGCAGAGTTTATTCCAGGGATGCAAGACTCTTTCAATATTCAAAAATCAATCTATGCTATCTACCATTTCAGGACAGAAAATCACATGACCATGTTGATCAATGCAGAAAAAGCGTCAGACAAAATTCAACACACGTTCATGATGAAAAACTCTCATAAATAGAGGAATAGAAAGGGGCTTTCTAAAATTGATAAAGAGGACTCACATTATACTTAATGTGCAAGACTGGATGCTTTCCCCTGAGATCAGGAACAAGGCAAGGATGTCCATCACCTCTAGTCAACATGGTGCTGGTGGTTCTAGGCAGTGCACTGAGGCGAGGCAAGGAAATCGATGGTCATGTAGATAGATCGGGAAGGAAGAGACCACGCTGTTTCTATTTACAGATGACGTGATTGTATTTGTAGAAAATCCCAAAGATTCTATAGTAAAACATGACAAAACAAAAACACTTCTGGAACCAAAAAAGGGAGTTCAGCAAGGTTGTGGGATATAAGATGAACGTGCAAAAAAAAAAAATCTGTATTTCTACATGCCAACAATGTACAAGCATGTAGACACTGAAAATAGAATGACACAACTATTTACACTTGCACAAAAAATTAACTGCTCAGGTGTAAGTCTAACAAAACATGTATGGGGCTCGTATGCTGAAAACTGCAGACACTGAAGGAAGAAACCAATGAGGCTCCAAATAAATGGAGAAACACCATGTTCATGGATTGCAACACTCAACGTAATAAAGATGTTAATTTCCCGCCAATCGGCATGTGGGTTTAACGTCATTTCTATCAAAATCTTGGCAAGATTTTTTTATGAACAGAGTCATTCTAAAATGTATATGGATAATCAAAGGAACTAGAGCAACAGAAACAGTTTTGAAAAAGAAGAATAAAATGAGGGACGCCCGGGTGGCTCAGTGGTTGAACGTCTGCCTTCAGCTCAGGGTGAGACCCCGGGGTCCTGGGATCGAGTCTTGCATCGGGGTGGGGGGGCTGCTTCTCCCTCTGCCTGTGTCTCTGCCTCTCTCCGTGTCTTTCATGAATAAATAAATAAAATATTAAAAAAGAAGGAGAAGAAGAAGAAAATGGAGGAGATGGCCTACTGGGTTTCAAGATGTATTATATAATTCCAGAAGTCAAGACTTGGTGGGACTGGTAGCTGGATAGACACACAGCTCAATGGAACAGAACACAGAACCCGCAGATAGATCCGCACAAATATGTCTGACTGATTTTTAGAATTAATTTTTATTTGCAGTGAGGTGCACATATCATAAATTTTACAAGTTTTACCATTTGCAAGTTCAAAACGCAGTAGTAACTAGTATATGGTAACACTGTGCTCCCATCACTGTCAATTTCCAGAACTTTTCCACCACCCCAGATGGACGCTCCGTACCCATTAGCAGTCACCCCCTCTGCTTCCCCCAGCTCCTGCAAACCAATAACCTGTTTTGCGTGTCTACGCATCTGCATGTTCTGAGTATTTCACATGAATGGCCTTTTGCGTCTGGCTGATTTCAGTTGACATCACGTTTTTGAGGTGTGTTCCCACGTGGTAGCAGGGGTCCGTACTTAACCTTTCCTCACGGCTGAATAATTCTGTTGTAGGGACAGGCCACCTTTGGTTCGTCCATTCTTCTGTAGATGGACATTTGGGTTGTTTCCACCCTTTAGCTGTTGCCAACAGTGCTGCCATGAACATTTGTGCACAAGTTTTCTTTTTCTTTTTTTTTTTTTTTAAGATTTTATTGTTTTATTCCTGAGAGACACAGGGAGCGGCAGAGACACAGGCAGAGGGAGAAGCAGGCTCCATGCAGGGAGCCCAATGCGAGACTCGATCCCGGGACTCCAGGATCACGCCCTGAGTTGAAGGCAGACGCGCAACCGCTGAGCCCCCTAGGCGCCCCCATGTACCAGTTTTTGTCTGAACATTTCCCTTCAGTTTTCTGGGGGCCTAACTGGGAGTGGAATGAACGGCTGGGTCACATGGAGATCGGGGTACCCGGCTGACTCCATGGACTACATGACTCTTGATACCGGGGTTATGGGTTTCAGCCCCGTGTTGGGTATGGAGATGACTTAAAAAATAAAATCTCTAAAGGAAAAGATTTTAAGCTTATTAAGGAACGCACTGAGGAGCCACCAGGCGTCTTCCGTCAGCAGGTGCACCATTTCACGCCCACCAACCACGTACGAGCCTTCTGATTTCTCCACATCGTCACGCACACACTGCTTTCAGCTCTTAGCCCAAAGCCCTCCTGGTGGGTGCGAGGTGGTGGCTCCTTCGGCCTTAATTCCCATTTCTCGGGATCCCTGGGTGGTGCAGCAGTTTAGCGCCTGCCTTTGGCCCAGGGCACGATCCTGGAGACCTGAGGTCAAATCCCATGTCAGGCTCCCAGTGCATGGAGCCTGCTTCTCCCTCTGCCTGTGTCTCTGCCTCTCTCTCTGTGTGTGACTATCATAAATAAATAAAAATTAAAAAAATAAAGTTAAAAAAAAATTCCCATTTCTCTGATAATTAGTGATGCCGAGCATCTCTCATGGGCACACTGAAGCTCAGAATGGGTCACCCTGTGAGCTGGTGGCCTATAGGGCCCTAAAGTCCCCGCAAAGTGTCACCGCTGGGAGACTGGGCCTGCCCTGCTGCCCCACCAGCTGGGGAGTCCCCAGGGGCAGAACCCAGGACCCCCTGGACTGTTTCCCGAGCTGAGGCCTGGGCTGCTGTTCTAAGGCCCCTGAAGCACCCCTTCCCTCCTCACTGCGGGGACCCAGCCCTTTCTGGGAGCCGCACATGCTGACGCCTCCGTCTGCAGCAAAGCAGAACGTCACTGTGTCCAGGCTTCGTTGAGGGAGCCAAGGCCCAGCAGCCAAGGAGCAGGCCCCCTCTGTGCCCCCCCCACCCCCGCCGCCACACAGTGCCACCGGAACCTCGCTCATCCCCCGTGGCCCGGGCATGTGAGCAGGGTCCTGCGTGCTGAGAGCATGGACCCGGCCACTATCCATCCAAGGCCATTTACTCGCTGTGTGACTTGGGTCGAGCTCCTTAGCTTCTCTCTGCCTCAGTCTCCCCATCTGTAGAATGGGGTGATGATAACGCTGACCCAGCAGGGCAGTTCTGAGATCGAGGGTGATGGCAGCGTTCTCAGAACAGGGCCTGGGGCATGGCAGGCTAGACGGGTCTGACAAAGAAGAGAGCCCCTGCAGGTGAGGACAGAGGCTTGGAGGTGGCCCACCAAGTGGCGGGCATGTCGCTGTGCCCAGCACCTCAGGGTGGGGGGGACCTGAGTGAGGCTCGGCCCTACAAAGGCAGTGGGTGGCTGAAGGCAGGGCTGGGCCCCTTGCCCTGGGTCCCCCATGGGTCTCACAGGCTGCCCCCCCTCCATCCCCAGGTCACCTGCAGGGAGGGGCTACCAGGGAAACCCCCCACATGCTGGAAAGTCCAAAATTCTCCAAGGAGCCTCGTTGCTGATGTCCAAGCGAGAGGCCGGGTGGCACCTGCAGGCCCGGCTGGCTGCTGACCCAGGGGCGCCACAGGCTTCCGCAGCCCGAGGGAAGTGAAGCCTTGAGCTTCTTGACTATTTTTAATCCCTGGGACACTTGTCTTGTGGCTAAAGTGTCCCTTGACCGGTTGGGCACTGGGGAAAAGTCGCCGGTGTGGGGTGGTGCTGGAGGAGGGACACTGGGCTGCCGGAGAGGCGGCTGCTGTTCACCCCTAGAGCCACAAGCCAGGCTCCACGGTCCCCCCATAACCCCAAGCCTTATGTGGGAACTTGGGAGCTAGCTGGCCAAGCAGGTGCCATTAGATGTGACACGAAGTGGCTCTGCTCCATGGGACCCGACCCACGTGAGCAGGGGGCCTCGGGGTGCTCGGGCGGATGCCAGGCTCAGCAGTGACGTTGACGTCTGCTTGCTTTTGGGTGCTACCATGGATACACATGTGCAGACGTGGGGGGAAGGCCAGGAGGGGGCTCCCAGGCCTGGGCAGGGGCGAGGACAGACCTCTCTGAGAGGGCAGCCCGGCACAGGGTGGGCGGGGGCCCTTGGGGTGTGACCTCTGGGGGTCTGTGGACAGCGCAGCCCCCAGCCCCACACCTCCACGGCCACCACCATGGCACCACAGCCCGTGAGCTCGGGCCCCAGAGGCGGGCAGCGCGAGGGCAGAGGCCCCAGAACATTCCACAGCAGCGCCAGCCTGTTCCGACCCTCACTGCCCTGGGGGTCCGTACACGGGCCCCAACTCTCTGGGTGAACCCCCCTGCCCCAGCCCAGGCATGCTCCCCAATGCCCAGAACGCCTGCCCTGGGGCGGTCAGCCTGTCTAGGACTGAACTCTCAGGGACCCAGGCCCGGGGAGGCCAGAAACCCAGCCAGGACCCCGTGCCGGGAGGAGGGGCCCTCAGGCCCCGGAGGACCCCCACCTCAGGATAGAACAGAGCCACCTAAACTCCGGAGAAATGCCGGGCCCCGCCCCTGCCCAGGCGACCCCTCCCAGCCCAGCGCCGTCCTGCCCGTGGCTCTGCAGCCTGGCCGCCCAACGGCCGCTCCCTGTGACCCTGGCCCCTCTGCCCAGGCCGTATGGGGTCGCTGTGGGGCCAGCGCCCTTGCAGGTCCCGGTCCCTTGCCCTTGCCACCACGGCCTGGGATGCGCGTCCCCCTCTGCGCACCCCCCCAGGACGGCTTCCCCACTGCCCGACACCACCGTCCAGCCTCGGACGCAGCCCCAGGAAGCTCCCGGGCGTCACTGCCCCGAGCTGTGAGTGGCCGAGCACAGGAGCCCCTGCGGCCCGCGCTCAGGCACATCGGTCCGCAGCTCAGCTGCCTTGTCCACCTGGAGGAAGGGGGGTAGGTGGCACCTGGGTCCCCCAGGGCGACGTGCTCAGGCTAAAGATGAGGGTGGCTGAGTCTCAGAGAAGGAAAGCGACTCGCCCGGCGTCACACGGCCTCCAGGCAATGCCCAGTGCTGTGCCCACGGGCACCCAGTCCGCCCTCAGACAGGCGCTCCTCCTCCCCCTGACCCTCCTACATCCCAGGTCCTGGGCCCCGGGCAGCGGACGTGGTCATGCCCACTCCCCACAGGGACCCTGAGTGCTGGGGCCCCTGAGCAGCCCCTGCAGGTGCCCGGGAGCTGGGCTTCGGGTGAGGTAGAGGGCACCCATGCTGGCTGTCTCCCATCTGAACGGAACCACAGTTCAGGAATTGGGGGGGGGGCCTCCCAGCCCTCCCACTCGAGGGGTCAGGCCCTGGTCCGGAAGCTTCCTTTACAAAGGACAGAGAAGCCAACCACCTGCTGACAGGTGTGGAATTCAAGTTTCCGTTCGGGCTCCTCCCTCCGGCCCTGATTGGCTCCGGGGACACACAGCCAGTCGGCTATAATAGAGACTGGGTGCTGGCTGGGCTCAGCCCTGCAGACGTGCCTGCCCAGGTGAGCCCGCCCACATGCACCCACCCAGGTGAACCTGCCCAGGTGAGCCTGCCCAGGTGAGCCCGCCCAGGTGCCCCCTGACCCAGGTGCCCCCACCCAGGTGCTCCCACCCAGGTGCTCTCGCCCAGGTGCTCGGCAGGGCAGGGCCAGCACGGGCCGGGAGGCAGAGATGGCCCAGGCGCTCCACAAGTCCAGTGGCACCTCGAGGCCACGGGACCCCAGGCGGGGAGAGGGGGCCTCCAGCCCTTTGCCCCCAGACCCTGCAATGGTGGGTGAGGCCCGGGCCGGCGGGGACGCGGGGCTGCGCCGCCTCCTGAGGCTGCACCGCACGGAGATCGCCATGGCTGTGGACTGCGCCTTCCCGCTGCTGCACGCGCTGGCTGACCACGACGTGGTCCCCGAGGACAAGTTTCAGGTGGGCCCCGACCCGCACCCCCCACGCCCCCTAACCTGCCCCAAGCCCTGCCCTGCCCTCCAGCCTGGGGCAATGTCTGGGAAGACAAGTTGCAGGGGGGCCCCGCCCCCGGCTCCACCCGAGTGGGGTTGAGGGGGTTGGGATGGGGCTGTGGGTGTAAAGAGGGGACAGGGCAGCGTCTCCGGGACAAGCTTCCGCGCCTCTCCAACGCCCTGCCAGCCCTCCTGAAGCTGCCCTCCAAGCCGGGGTGAGGTCCCCGAAGAGGAGATCCAGGTGGCCTCCCACCCCCAGCACCCCTGGGGAACCCCACACCCCTGCCAGCCAGGGGCACGGGCAGGTGCCGGGTCGCCTGCAGCACCCTCGGGGTGGGCAGACGGCAGGAAGTCGGGGGGCTGGGGGGGCTGGGGGGCAGGAGGCAGGAGGCAGGACCTCCCACTCCCCACGCTCGCTTCAGGAGACCCTGCGTCTGAAGGAGAAGGAAGGCTGCCCGCAGGCCTTCCACGCGCTCCTCTCGTGGCTCCTGACCCAGGACGCGGCTGCCATCCTGGACTTCTGGAGGGTTCTGTTTAAGGACTACAATGTGGAGAGATACGCCCGGCTGCAGCCCATCCTAGACAGCTTCCCCAAAGGTCGGGGGGAGCCGGGGTCCTGCGGGGCTCGACCTCCACGCTGGGGGCCGGGTGGCTGGGGTCGTCCCAGCTGGATGGCAGAGAGAAGGTTGGGGGGGGGTTAGGGAGCCCCCCACATCGCCTAGGACCGTCCTGCCTCCCGAGAGCTGATGGGCTGAGGTCTTGCCCGCCTCCCAAGGTGTGGGTCCTGGTGTCGAGGCTCGGCCCCTGCTTGCACCCTGCAGACATAGACCTCAGCCAGCCCCGGAAGGGGAGGAAGCCCCCGCCAGGCCCCAAGGCCGCGGCGCTGCTGCCCAGACCCGCTGCCAAGAGGAAGGTTCCAGAGGAGCCCAGGGCCACCCCGCCAGCAACACTGTCTCCAAGGGTCACCTCTAGCCCAGGTACCTAGTTGGAGGAGCCAGCGGGCTGCAGATGGGCCTGGGGAGCCCGCCGCCACCTGACCACACCCCCCAGCTGGGCCCCTCTGGATCCTTAGGGGGGGTGGGCCTAGCCGTCCCCTGTTGTCCCAGGAGCCCGGAAGCAGGCAGGCGGGTGTTACTTCCTTTTTCTGGTTGTGGACAGCAGTGCCCAGGAAAGCAAGGGCATCCACGGGAGCTGGGGAGGCACCCTGGGACCTCTCTTGCCCCCTGCACCGCCCTTGACGGCAGGTATTGGCCACGCGGGGCAACGAGGCCAGGCTGGTGCGGCTCCCCCTGCAGGCTCCCAGGCCAAGGCCAAGCCCAGGAAGCCCGAGAGCAGCGCAGAGCCGCAGCGCCTCCCGCTGGGGAATGGTGAGCCAGGCCCCGAGGCTCCCCCGGCGGGGTCGGGGCCGGGGTCGGGGCGGAGGGCCCCCTGGGGTGCTGACCTAGCGCCTCACCCCAGAGCCTCGGCTGGACAGACGCACCGGGAAAGAGGAGGCTCCTCGAGTCAGCCCATGTACGCCTGGCCCCTTCCCGTCCCCTCCTCGCCCCAGAGTGGGGGACCCCGGAGACCCCCTAGGGTCACCTGACCTAAGGGCAGGCCTGGGAACTCTGCCCCCCTCCACGCCCTGGGGTCCCTGCTCATCCTGCCCGCGGCGTCCGCCTGGCTCACGCAGCAGCGCCCATACTGCACACCCCGTGCACATACACGCACATGCTCACGCGTGCATAGCGCACATACCCATGGCTGTCTGTCTGTCTGTCCTGCCCCGGGCGGAAGGAAAGGAGGATTCCACAGCCCAGGCACCTCTTGCCACCCCCTTGCCTGGAGGAAAGAGGTGCTCAGGGGTCCTCTTTCCAATGGATGACCCCCCCCCCACCTGGTGCTCCCTTCCCCAGGAATTCAGACCATGTCCACTTCGGTCCAGAGAGCCGTGACCGTGTCGTCCGGGGATGTCCCAGGAGCCTGTGGGGCCCTGGAGGGGATCCTCATCCAGCAGGTGTTTGAGTCAGGTAGACGGCGCTGCCAAAGGGGCGGCCAGGGGCATGCAGGCCCCCTGGATCCGTGTCCCTCCTCAGCACCTGGCGGTGACCACATCCTGGGTCACCTCTGCCCACCTGGACGGGCCCCTCGGGGTCTTGGTTCTCCAGCGGGACGGCCTGCCGCGCCTCCCGCCCCCACACCGCCTCCCTCCCCTCTGTCTGGGCTGGGCTCCGGCCGCCGGGATGCCAGGACAGCCAGGGGCGTGGGCCCTGCTCTCCCCCCCAGGGAGGGTGCCCAGGGCCCGCCCTAGTTCAGCATGGCGGTTATAACCACTGGCCACAAACTGGGCAGCTTAACACAACAGGAGGTGCAGAGGCCAGGTGTCCAGAGGCTCTAGGGCAGGGGCTTCCGTGCCCGTCCGGCTGCTGGCCGCTGCGGCTTTGTCACTGCAGACTCCGCCTCCAAGCCAGGCTCTTCTCCCTATGCCTGTGTCCTCTCCTTCGGACTCAGTGTCCCCCGGGAGCCCGTCTTAGCTAATCCCCCCTGTAAAGACCCTGCTTCCAAAGACGTCTGCACTCCGAGATTCCAGGTGGATGGGAATTTGGTGGACAGGCTTCACCCAGTACAGCCCCCGCAGAAGAGCCGTCCTGTGCCCAGGATGCGGGCCCGGACCCCGGGGGGCCGGGTGGGGTGGGGGAGGAGCGGCAGCAAGCGGCAGGGCGCCCAGCCTCCCCCTGCCTGCACCCGGCGCCCAGGCCAGAGTGCGGCCGAGCGGGGGCCAGCCAGCCTCTCCTCCCAGGTGGCTCCAAGAAGTGCATCCAGGTGGGGGGGGAGTTTTATACTCCCAGCAAGTTCGAAGACCCCAGTGGGGGGAAGAACAGGACCCGTAGCAGTGGCCTGAAGACCCTGGTCCGGGCCAAGGGGGCCCAGGCTCCTGCCCCCGTAAGCACGGCCCCTGACACCTGCCCACAGCACACCCAGGGCTCAGCTGGGGCTGCGCCCAGCTCATTCTGGTGACCCTCCCTCTCGTCCCCAGGAAGGTGGAGGTGACCCGAGAGCAGGCCAGCCGGGCAGGGTGCATGCCCCTCCTGCCCTCCCCAGCGAGCCCCAGCTCCAGCAGGTAATGCCCAGGCCACGGTGGCAGGGAGGGGGGATCTCCTTCACCTCCACGGATGGTCCTCAGGGTGGCCCATCCGCCACTTTGCCGCTTGACCGGGGCCCTTGCTTGGATGGTGAGGACAGAGGCCTAAGCTTCTGTTCACAGAGTAGAGCCTTTTTGTTTTTTAAATAATATTTTTTTCTGATAACACACAATTGTAAGATTTCAAATAAGTCAGAGAAAATAAGTCCTACCAGGCTTTTACCACCGCAGGGCTGGTCGGGGCACCAGCTGTCCTCTGTCTCACAGCGGGCCAGTGGGTGGGGACGTGGCCCCTGCTGGGGACCAGGAAGCTGAGCATCGAGCATGTCATGGGGCTCCCAGCACAGACCTGGGCGCCCCTCACCCACGCCAGGTGCTGAGCCCTGGGCCCCCAGGAAGGAGCAGGATGCGTGCCCGCCCCCCAGGAGTCCCCAGCCGGCTGGCGGGGCAGCGGGCAGTATCACTGCACACGGCTGCCTGCCCTGGTGGGCTTCCGGAGGAGGTGGCACCACGCGGGCTGGGGTGCAGGCAGGTGGCACCGGGCCCAGCAGGTGCCTGGGAAGAAGGGGCGGCGCGGGGCTAGGCGTGCCGCGTAGAGGCCGCCCGGAGCACCGTGCCCACGAGAAACTGGGCTTTCGGAAGGCTCAGCCTTCCCAGGACGGACAGCCCGGCCCCGGGGTGCGCGGTGGGCACCAGAGGCTCGGGGCGGGGGGCAGGGAGCCGGCGTCCGCCAGCGGGGAGCAGGCCGGGGACTCGTGCACCCCCGGGGTACGCCGCGCCCAGGCTGTTCTGAGGGGCTCTTGGGGAGGGCGCTGCCCCAGCCCGGGATCCTCCAGAGGATGCGTGTGTCCGGCCCGCGTCAGAAGAACGAGGACGAGTGCGCCGTGTGCCGGGATGGCGGGGAGCTCATCTGCTGTGACGGCTGCCCCCGGGCCTTCCACCTGGCCTGCCTGTCCCCGCCGCTCCACGACATTCCCAGGTGAGCCCGGCACCCGGGTCAGCCTGGCCACCCCCCACCTGCCCTCATGGCCACGTCTACCCATCTGCCCCCTGAGTAGGAGGCTGCCCAGAAGGGTCCCCGTTCCACGGCTGGGAAGTGGGGCCCCCCGGGAGGGAGGCAGTGGGGCTGGGGCCTCCCACCCGCCTCCCCGTGTGGCCCACTGCCCCCCTGCCCCCAGCCTGGCCAGCAGGGCCCCAGGGGGCAGAGAAGCAGAATGAAGGCCCCCCATCCTGTCCCATCTCACCACACACCCCAGCCCAAACCCCCAGCCGGCCCCCCTCCAGGGAAGGTCCTACCACAAGTCAGGCTGAGCGGGTGCCCGTCCCTGGCAGGGCGCCGGCCCTCCCAGCCCTGCCCGCTACCACCAGCTCCCTCGGGTCACCGCAGCCGGTGAGGGAGAGCCCAGATGGGAGAAATGACACCCCCAGCCCTGGCCCTGCGCAGCCCCCTGAGTGGCCTTGGCCAGGTCACCCGTCTCTGAGCCCCAGATGCTCGTCACTAATGCGGGGCCATCCCTCAGCTCCAGCTTCCTTCCTGCCCTCAACCCCGTCCCCCCCGCTGGCCGCCATCCCCCTTGTGGAAACGGGGGTGGCCCGGGGGTATAAACACCCCAGTTCTCCGAGGTCCCACTGACAGGGTGGGGCCCATGAGAGCCACACACAGGCTGCTCCAGGTTAGCTGGGGTCTGGGGTTCTGGGGCTCATCGGGAAGCTCTCAGAGGGGACGCCGACCGTGCTGGCGAGGGCCGCCCCCAGGGCTAAACTTCCCCGTATCCCGGGCTCTCCTGCTGACGGGCCGGGGCAGCGCTTCCATTGTGCCTCTGCCCACCGTCCTGCCTGGCCTCAGTTTCCCCATCTGGAAAAGGGAAGGGGTGACTTGGAGGAGCCTCGGGCCTTCCCTGTCCTGTGTGTTTGGGAGTCTACTGTCCCTTCTGCTGGCCTTGCATGACCCTGGCTGGTGACCGCGTGAGCAGTGGGACCTGGAGGTGCTCCAGCTGCCTCCAGGGAAGAGCCCAGCGGGATGCGCCCCGGGCCGAGGAACCCCCGCCCCAGGAGCCACCTGCGGAGACCCCGGTACGCACCAGCCACCTCCAGGGCCCTGTGTCCGGCCTCCCGGCTGCTCCTGTGGGCCATAGACCCTGCACCCCTGCCCCTCGCCTGGCCTCGTCAGTTTGGCCGTCTACACCGGGAAGTGGCCCCACAATGGCCTGTTTCTCAGGGCTGGCCCAGGGGCCTCTGCTCTGCCCAGGTACACAGCCCGTGCGGGCCGCACACGCCCCATCTTCAGATGGGGACAGGCTCAAGGACCTCGCTAGGGGCACAGAGCCAGCATCTGCACCCAAACCCCAGGGTGGGGTCCCCCACACCAGCTCCCGAGGTTCCCAGGGTCCTGGCGATACAGGCCTCCCTGGGGGGTGCTGTGCAAGTGCCCTGGGACCTTGCCAAGCACTGATCCTCTGGTTCCAGGTCCTCTTGGGACTGAGGCTGGCAGGAGAAGAGGTGAAGGGCCCGTCCAGGGAGCCCCCAGCTGGGATGGACACTGCTGGCCCCTACAAGCACCCGCCGGCCCCACCTCCTGCAGCCCCCTCGCCGGTGCTGGAACCCTCCGCCCTGCGCCCCCTACTGTGTGTGGGTCCTGAGGGGCAGCAGGTGAGGAGGTGCTGGGGGGTGGCCCGTCTTCTGGGAGCCAGGACCTGCACAGCCGCCAGGTGGAGCTCTGACATGCAGGGCTTGGGGTCCAGGCCGAGCCAGACTGGCCATGGCGAGGGTGGCCCCGGGGTCGGGTGCTGGGAGGAGCGCACCCGGCACGAGGGTGGAGGGCTCTGAAGCGCGGGGCAGGAGTGATGGTCCGTCCCTGATCCTGAAGCCCTCCCACCGTCACCCTCCAGGACCCACAACAAGGAGGACGGCCCGTCCTGTTGGGGAGTCCCAGTGCCGCAGACCCTCCCGCCTTTTTGGGGGGGGCGGTTCTGGGGTCCCCTTGACCAGCCCCAGGGGCCCACCAAGGGGGAGCAGGTCTCTTGGGGCTGCAGCCCCAAGGTGTCAGTGTCCCTGAGCTCCCCCCACCCCCAGTCACCGCTCTGCTCCCCGCAGGGCCCGGTGGCGCGGTGCGGCGTGTGCGGGGACAGCTCGGATGTGCTGCGGTGCACGCACTGCGCTGCCGCCTTCCACTGGCGCTGCCACTTCCCTGGGGGCGCCCCCCGGCCAGGGTGAGTGCGGCGGCGGGGAGGGGGGCGCAGGGCCGGGGGGTCACCGCGGGCCGCCAGCCCGACCCCCTCCTCTGCTGTGCACAGGGCCCCACGCTGCCGCTCCTGCTCCGGAGACGCCGGCCCGGCCCCCGGCGACGGGGCGCCCGCCTCGACCCCCACCCGCGCTGCGCCGGGGCCTGCCAAGGTCAGTGCTGCCCGGGGAGGTGGGGACCCCGGGGGCTGGAGTGGCCGGCACACCCCAGGGACGCTCCGCGTGCCAGCTTCGCAGGGGTGAACATGCCCTGGGCCGTGGGTTGTGTGTGTAAATAGCCGCCTTCGAGATAACGTCTACCTGAAAGGGAGAGCCGGCTACAAGCATTGGTGGCATGAGATGGCAGTGGGATGCACCTGTTCCCTGGTGACCCGGCCCCGCCCTCAGTGCCCCCTCTCCCAGCCCCTGGAGGGGTGGCGGCGAGAAGGCGCCCAGCAGGGATGGGCAAGCACGCGTGACGCCCAGTGTGACCCTGCCTGGGCTCCTGGTCCTCCAGCAGTGACCGCCCGGGAGCCAGCGGGAGCCCCTGGGGACAGCTGGCTCTCTGCGGTCTTTGTCTGCCTTCCTCCTGGGGCTCCCTCAGAACTTGGGGGGTGGGAGTCCTGTGTGCCCCTTCAGGAGCCTTTGGGTGGCACCTCTTCCCCGGGCCTTCCTGACCCCGTCCCTGCCCCCAGAAGAACCTCTGAGGCCCTGGGGGAGGCGAGGAGTCCCGCCCCCATCCGTGGCCCATCCTCCTTCCCAGCCACACCGCACCCCCCAGCACTCTGAGCGGAACCGGCTTGGGGGGCCAAGGCCCCGCCCATGAGGGGCTCACCGGCAACCCCAAGGCTTGGCCCGCACCTGCCTGCTGCAGCGTGGAAGCCTCCCATCACCCCGCCCCTCCGCACTGGCCGTGCTCAAGCCCTCTCAGGGGGACCCCTGCTCCCCCGCCACGAGGGGTCCCTCCCTCCGGAAGACGCTTCTTCACGGACACCTGGGCTCTTTGCTCTTAAAGGCAGACTCCTTTCTTGTCCTTGAGATGGAGCGCAGGGACCTTGGAGAGGAACACGTGCCAGCCCCTTAGCCCCTCCCCCAGCCCCACTCCCTACGGGAGAATGTGGGTGTGGCCCCATCCCTTCCTGGGTGCCCTGCACACCCCGAGGCTGTGCTCCTCCCTCACCGCCTGGGTGCTGTGGCCTCCCAGGGCCTGTGTTTATGAGCTGAGACTCGGCTTTTTCGTGCCAGTCTCCTGTGGCTCATGCCCTGCTCTGGCCCCCTCCCCAGGGGCGCCGTGGGCCCTGGCAGCCTTTGTGGGGTGGTTGAGTGGCTGGCATCGGACCAGGGACTTCCCTCTCGGGGCCTGTTTCTCCACCCATCACAGGCTCCCTTCGAGCTGGTTCTCTGAGTTGTCCGGCTCTCCCTGGAAGGCTGCGTATAGCAGGTGGAGGCTGGCGGGCCTGGGGACCTCGGGCAACCAGCTGCCAGCGGTGCCAGGGCCCTCGCGGGCAGCCCCACACTCACTCATGCCCACCCTGCCTGTGCCCAGCACCCTGGGAGGAGCTGGGTGCCCCTGTGCCCCGGGGCAGCCCCCGCCGCACTGCCCTGGCATGAGCGCCTGTCCCCCGGGCCCCTGTGGCCTCTGCAGGGAGTCCTGCTCTGTTTCGGGGTTCCCTAGCAGGGGTGCCGAGATTGGGCTGACCCTCCTCTCCTGGGCTCCAGGCAGGTGATGGCTCCACTGGGCACGAGCCGGTTCTACACAGAGACGACCTGGAGTCCCTCCTAAACGAGGTAATGCACCTCCAGGCTGGGCCTCCGCCTGCACCTCCTCCTCTACAACCCCCTAAAGCCTCCGGGGGGCTGGGAGGTGCCCCCTCACCCCAGCTGTGCCAAGTACCACAGGCCAGGCTGCTTCAGACGCGTGCAGGAGCCCGAGCACACCAAGGGACCTAGAGGGGACCCTGAGCCCTTGCAGCTCCTAGCCCTGACCCCAGGTCCCGAGGGCCTGGATCCTGGGGGGCTGGGGGGCTGCACAACCTCGGGGCAGGGCGGGCGGGCGCCCCGGACCTCTCACTGCCCCCATCAACCCAGGCTCTTCTCCCTTCGGTGAACAGCTACACTGGCTGGGAAGGAACTGGGGCTTTCAGGGGTTCCGTCTCTCTTCGACGGGAGGTCAGACTCCTCCAGCCATCCCCACACCCAGGAGGCCGACACGTGGTGTCCGCGGGCCGTGGGGCCCCTCCCTGTGTGCTGGGCTGGGCACAGGAGGGTCCCAGGCAGTGCGGGGATTTTGGGGGGGACCCCAGGTGCTGGGTGAGGGCCCTGAAGCTGTGGCGGGGGTGGCCGCCCGAGACCGTTGGAGAAAGGGGGAAGACTCCCCAGCCCCTTCGGGGGTGCAGGCACCCCATCCTGCTGGAATATTGGGCCTCCTCATGACCCCCCATCCTGTGGGGTGCCAGGCCCTGAGCACAGTGAGGGCAGGAGCTGGCCCGGCCTCGCAGCCCCGGGGCAAGGAGGCCGTGCCCTGTGCCCCCGGGATGCTATGATGGAGCACTACGTGAGGAGTCCATGTCTCGCCCGGTGGCCAGGGCGTGCCCAGTGTGCCCCGGAGCCTTGGCAGGTGCGAGGCTCCGCTCTGCTGTCTTGCAGCACTCCTTCGACGGCATCCTGCAGTGGGCCATCCAGAGCATGTCCCGGCCGCTGGCCGAGGCGCCCCCCTTCCCCTCCTGAGCCAGGAGGCCAGGGGTCTGCGGGGCAGCGCTGGGGGAGGGGCGGCCCCCGCCGATGCCGCCTCAGCCGAGAGCGGACCCCCTCCCACCTCGGGACCACGGATGCCGGATGCCAGTGCGTTCCGCTCCTGCTCGCGGTGACCTGCTGCGGGAGGGGCCGGGAGACGCACTCCCCACCCCGGGAGCTGGCCAGGTTAGGACCCAGGAAACCTGGAAGGTCCGGGTGGCGTCCACGCTCGGCTCGTCGGCACGGCCCGTGCTCGTGGACACACAAGGCAACGCGTGTCCTCAAATAAAAAGCTCCTCCTGTGGGGTCTCGACATGCTGTCTGTGGGGTGTGTTTGCTCCGGCGGCTCTGGGCTCCCCCGCATTTCTGGTGCCCGAAGGGTAGGCCGCGCCGGCGGGAAGGGAGCTCACCGTAACGGGAGGGCCCAGCTTGGGTCCCCCCTTACACTCAGGTTCCTCCTCCTGGGGACTTGAGCCCCTGAGGCCCTGACCCCCCTTCATCTGACCACGCCGTGGGCCACACGGCTTCATGGGCTCCCCTGCCAGGCGGCACAGCAATGACTGGAGTGGCTGCTGTCCAGGCGGGGCCCCCAGCTGTGACCCACCCCTGGCTGTCACCCGTCTGCCTGGTCTCGGCTCTCCTCCTGTGGGGGTGGAGGTTGGTCTTGCTCGTCCGGCACGGGAACGACGGCCGCCTCTGTACCAGCCTGCGGTGCGCGTCCGGCAAACCGGGAGCAGGCCCACGCTGGATGAGCCAGCCGTGGACACCGGCGGCGGGGGCCCCCCCGCACCTGCCGTGCTGGTTTCCCTCAGTGGCTCAAACGGTAAACACTCGGTCCCGGGGGCCGGACGCCCGGGGTCCAGGCGTGGGCAGGGCTGGCTCCTCCAGGGCCCCTCTCCTGGGCGTGTGGACACCTCCCTCTGCCCAGGGTCTCCCCTGGTGGCCCTCCTCGTCTCATGGGGACCCTGGTCAGACTGGGTTAGGACCCACCCTCGTGACCTCATTTTAACTGAATCACCTCTGTAAGACCCTGTCTCCAAACGCCGTCACGTTCCAAGGTGCTGGGGGCCGCCCTCAGTGGGAGTCCTGGGGGGGCGTGGCCCAGTGCCCCCAGCTCGGGGTTTCTTCTCAGTCCTCCATCCGCCCCGCAGTGCATCACCTGCTCCCTGGCTGTACCTCCCACGTCCTGGGGCTGTGTTCCGGCGTGAGCCCGACCTCCCTGCCCTGCTGCACTGGTCCCCCAGAGAAGTCCCTCGCCGTTGTTAGCAAGTGTCCTGGAAACTTTTTTCTATTTTTTAAAAGATTTATTTGGGGATCCCCGGGTGGCTCAGCGGTTTAGCACCTGCCTTTGGCCCGGGGCCTGATGCTGGAGACTCGGGATCGAGTCCTGCGTCGGGCTCCCTGCATGGGCCTGCTTCTCCCTCTGCCTGTGTCTCTGCCTCTCTCTGTGTCTCTCATGAATAAATAAATAAAATCTTAAAAAAAAAAAGATATATTTATTTTGGGGCGGGGGAAGGACAGAGGCAGAGGGAGAGAGAATCTCGAGCAGATCCCATGCTAAGCAAGGAGCCTGACCCGGGGCTCTGTCCCATGACCCCAAGATCATGACCCTGAGATCACGACCCCGAGATCACTATCCCAAGATCACGACCCGAGCCCAAACCAACTGTTGGATGTTCAACCAACTGCGCAACCCAGGTGCCCCCGAGATACATTTTCCTTCAGCGGGGACACGACTGGGCCAGAATACCAGCATCGGCTCCTCTAGTCCACAGACGCAGCAAAGCCCATGGACACATGGGCACTGGGTTGGAGGCTCAGTTGTCACCGATTCAAAATTATTAACGATTTATGAGCAAGGGGTCCGAGTTTCACTTGGTGCTGGGCCCTGCAGCCAGTCCTGCCCTGAGGTGCCTGGTCCTGTTTGGCAGATGGAGTGGGCCGGGCTGGTTGAGGGTTGGGGGTGTTGCTAACAGGTGGGTGAAGGGCCTGGTGCCTGTGGAATTGCCCGGCGGACCCGGGGAAAGCCAGTATTTCTGGGCACAGACTGAATGTAGCAAAGCAGGGCTGGAGCTCCTGCCCATAATCCGGACTGGAATGAACTGGTGCCTCGAACTCGGGCCCTGGGCAGGACCTCTGGAGCCACTTGGCTGCGACCCTGGTGCTTTAAAGACACTTTTGGGGGGCCACACCTCTGCCAATGTTCAGGGGACTCTGAAAGCCCCTCAGGGAGGGGTCTCACGGGGCCGCAGGGATGGGCCAGGCTGCTCCACCTGCAGAGTTCCTTCAGCCGCCCACCCTCAAACTGGCTGGAAGCTGCCGGAGAACTGGCGAGTCCACGTGACGTGCTCCACGCGGCCCAGCCAAGCGCCCCAACCCCTGCAGAGACATATGGGCCAGAGCAAGCCTGCTCCCGTGTGTGAGGAGGGCGGCTGCATCCCGTCCCCCTCATTCCCGCCCACAGCCACCTGTCCTCCCATCACGGCACACCCCCTTTGTGACCTTCTTTTGTCCAGTTACTTGCTCACCGCCTGTCCCCTCCGGACCGTGTGCGCCGGGGGCCGTCCGTGTTGCAGTCGGCGCGGAGACCAGGCTGACCAGTGCAGGGCCGCGTGGCAAATACTTGCAGAATTAGCAAATGTGACTTTGAAAGGGAACCAGACATTCAGCATTCAGGGACTGTTTTGAGAAACAATGTCACAGCCACAGATTGGGATATTATCCAGGGATAGAAATGATGAGTACACGCCTGGGGGCCCAAGCAGATGAGCATTAATATAAGTTAAATTTGTTTACTTAACTTACAATGTTTATATATTTATATTACTTGCTCAGTATCCCTGTGCACACACATATGAGGTTAGAGTACGTGCACGTATAAAGAGAGAAGGTATAGAGTGTGTATGGAAGGATGCATAGGACAGGAGAATGTACGTATGTGGATACGTGTATGTATGTGTGTGCACGTGTGTGTGTGTGTGTGTGTAGGTGCACGGGGAGAAATACCAGGAGAAAACATTGAACAATGAACACAGGATGGTTTTTTTTAAAAGATTTTATTTATTTATTCATGAGAGACACAGATAGAGGAAGGCAGAGACACAGGCAGAGGGAGAAGCAGGCTCCATGCGGGAAGCCCGATGTGGGACTCGATTCCGGAACCCCAGGGTTATGCCCTGAGCCGAAGGCAGACGCTTAACCGCCGAGCCACCCAGGGGCCCTGAACACAGGTTGTTATAGCAGGGATTATGGATGATTTGTCCTTCGTAAATATTTTTGTTATTCAGATTATTTTTATTTTTTTAAGATTTTATTTATTTATTCATGAGAGACACACAGAGAGAGGCAGAGACACAGGCAGAGGGAGAAGCAGGCCCAACACAGGGGACTCGATCCCGGGTCCCAAGGAATGGGGGACTGAAGTTGGTGTTAAACTGCTGAGCCACCCGGACTGCCCCAGATTGTTTTTAAATACCTGTAAGAGTATGATTTTTTTTTTTAAAGTTTTTTTTTTATTTATGATAGAGAGAGAGAGAGAGAGAGAGAGAGAGAGAGAGAGAGAGGCAGAGACACAGGCAGAGGGAGAAGCAGGCTCCATGCACCGGAAGCCCGATGTGGGATTCGATCCCGGGTCTCCAGGATCGCGCCCTGGGCCAAAGGCAGGCGCCAAACCGCTGCGCCACCCAGGGATCCCAAGAGTATGATTTCTGAGAGGCACATCTGCACTTCACACTGGACACGCCTGCCCAGGGCTGGGAGCCTCCCATGCGTGGGTGGTCGCCCACCCCGGCCCCAAGCCCAGGCCTGCTGGTCTCTCGACAGAGCCTGTGCGCAAGTGAGTGAATGAGTGAATGGATGAGCACCTCCTTGCTCTCCGACATTTCAGCGTGGTGCTTCCTACCTCGGAGGTGGGACTCCTGCTCCCTGTTCTCTGAGCAGCCCTCGTCCTGCCCGCAGGAGCTGAGCGGCTGCCCTGCCACTGCTGAAGGGCCGCCCAGGAGGATGGGGCAGGCCACCCAAATGGACCTCCATGAAGGGGATGTCCAGCCTGGCTGACACCAACACCGTCCCACCCTACATCCCCAGGCTTTCTGGTTGGGCCTCCTAAATACCCCACAGATCCTGCTTTGCCATCACCTGCTTGTGCATCACATTTTTCGGCTTGGATCCTGAGCTGATCACCCCTGGTCCTGAGGCCTCGGCAGATGTACCTGGTGAGGACCCTACCTCGGTGGAGGGGTGGGGGCAAGCCAGCTGAGAAGCAGGTGGAGAGACCCACAGCCCCTCCCTCACCCCAGCAAAGGTCGGGAGGCCTATTCTCTGGAGGAGGCACACAGTGTCTGGACCTGAGAATGCCACAAACAGTTGAGGCAGCAGCTCGACACTGAATGCACATGGTCAGGTCACCTCAGGCACCTCTCTTCATTCAGCTCCAGACAAGAGACGGGAAGATTCTTCTCGAACCTGACCAGCCTATAGAGACAATGCTCCTGGGGAGTTCCCCAACAAGTGGCCCAGTAAGCTCACCCTACGAGGCCCAATGACTGTAAGTCACATGTCACGGAGGTTTCACAGACATTAGGAAGGCCTCTCACGTGGCCGAGACCAGGACAAGCAAAAAGAAAGAAAGCCACGTGGATGAAAGAGACCCAGAAGGGAGCAGAGAATGTTTAAAAATGCAAAGAAACTGGCAAGATCCTTGGGGAGATGGGCCCTCTATTTATGAAACAAGAACAGGATTCTGTTAAAAGGAACAGTCAGAGAACAGCAGCTGTTGGAAGTCAAAACCATGCCCACAGACATAGGGAACATCGCGCAAGGTCAGGATAGCAAGTGGAGGAAATCCCTCTGAACATAGAGCAGAAACGAGTCAGAAAATAGGTAAGTACAGGTCATACATGGAGGTGGTCAGCCCAGGATCCAAGCTGTAAATGGCAGGAGCTCCCAGAAGAGGAAAGAGGAAAGCAGAGCGGAAGAAGTCCTTGGTGAAACAA